CGAAAGTGGAAAGAGGTGTCCGATTGAAATATATATCTCCCCGATGAGCGCTCATATCTGACCCTCAACATCGCGAGGCTTGATCAGATTTCCCCGACCGACTCGTTGATCACTATCCTATGATCAAGTTGACTGTCAACAGCCCGCCGAAAAGTAACAAAATTCTAGTTAAAATCTGACTGCATCAATTAACAGTTGTGGTGATCGTAAAATCCACTACACAGTCGCCTGCGTCTGCGCAGTCTATAAAACACCAAGGCCTGGTAGAAATGGTACTGCCCAGATCTTGACATTCTCCTGCGGATAAAATGGATGCCCCGAACAGCTCGCCAGACCAGGAAAATAAAACAGAACAGCAGCCCACTGAACTGCCAATCCTTAGCGAGATAGACGAATCACAGGAAAATTCTCATCATGTCCCTCCTTTGGTAAGTGGAACGACCCTGATTCAATGCTCTTGCTGACAATCGCAGCTCTCCGTTTCGCAGCAGGAAGCAGATACAAGACACACCCTGGCGACCGAGCCCTTTCAACCCATCTTGAAGGTGCTAGCAGACCTCGAACACGACGATCCAAAGTTCGCTTTTCCAGCGACTCGACTTGTCGGACTCTATCGACGCCTATGGGAGTCGTGTGTGTCCAAGCACATTGATGGCGAGAAACTAGAGCAGAGCAATCAGAACTTGAAGGAGACTGGTATGCACCTGAGAAAGGAGAGGGACGGTCTTCAGCTTCGCCACGACAAGCAGCTGTCTCGGCTGCGCTTTTTCGACCAGGCACTGGAATCATCTCGGGAAAGACTGACTAGCGTACTTGATGACTGGAACCACCCTTCCAGACTCAATCTCGCAGGGTTCCCGGACAATGCAAGAGGAGAGTGAGAGATCGGCTATTCGGAGTTATCCTTCCTATTGTTTAGAAACAGAAATACCACAATGACGTTGTAATTGAAAGATAACTACAGCATGAACAGCAGCTTATATTCCTGGTGTCTGCGAACAATCCCCCATGTTCTGGACCGGTCTCACATGTAACCACCCAATATATTATGCACAAAAAACTCCGGATCCAGGGACAATGTCGTCGGTAGTGTACCTAGCGGAAAAAATCCCGATTGACTCGAGTATTGTAGAGGTTCCATGCGAGGCCACAGGGACAGTCGGAAGCTATTTCCTATTGCACCAAAATCATGGATCGTGTCTAGCAACTGCCTGCGTACCCGACAGAGATTCCCCAGGGCCGTTTCAACCCGCGGCAGGAAGAACAAATCCTCTCCTATAGTCTCACCAGATGTCCGGTCAAATTGCACAAATCGAAATTCTATCCAGTGCACGTCTTTAGGGAAAAGGAGCGCTGACATATGGAGGAAAATGTCGCTAGCCTGAGTAGATATGGACAGAGGATCTGGCCCTGTCCACTTGAAGCCTGACAGACTGTCGATATTGGGGTAGAAAAGGCATTCGATCAAGGAAGACCCTGGAGTTTCGCATCGTGCAGGGTCGACTTTGCCAAGAAGATCCTGCCACAGATCATTGGGATCAGTAGCGAGACAGGGAGGCGGTGTCGGTATGCCAGAGGATTCATGCCAGATAGCATGAAGGTCGAGATCCAAATCGTAGTCTACTAATGTTAGCACAAATAATTATGGAAGCAACGGGTACAGACCATTGTTGTTCAATTCGTTCATTTCTGTTCTAAGACTGGCCGTCGAAGGCTGTAGGGAAATACAGAAGTGTATAAAATAACAATTTAACGAGGGTTGGGAGGAACAGATGCCGCAGGGTGAGCAGGGATTGTATTTATCGTCGATAACGGAAGGTCGACGCAGATTATGATGGTTTTATGGCCAGATGCTAAGTTCTTGAAACTAAGCGATGAATGTATCAACGGCCGTGGAGCGTTGACGACCCGTGACCAAACCCAACGAAACTTCACCGGCGGTTGCATCGGCCTCCTCTAAGATCAGCGATAATATTTAGTAGAGAACGTAAATAGATGGCAGAGCTATCCAAATGTTATTGTAGCCCACGAGCGCCCAACAACACTGAGACCTCATCAAGGCCCATCAACATGATAGGGCTGGGGATCGCTCGCTTGCAAGGCTGAAACCACACCGTTACAAAGGGCTTGAACCGCAAGCTTTCGATCACGCAACACCATTGCCTGTTCATCGCAGAGCTGCAGAAGGATGTCGCTGTCGCTTGTTAGCCACTCATTTGATTCAAGAAGCTGTCGCTGCTCATCCTCAAGTCGCATTTTCTCGGCAGATTTGATGACGTAGCATTCCCATAGGGAAAAGTACAAGTCAAGCAGCTTGAGGGCTGGTGTAGTGAGAGTGTCATTGTAGTGTAAAAGTTTTATAAACTCCACCGTAAGGGCACTGGGTGTCACTGGAATCTGCGCAGTATTAGTGTTTTTGTTCGTTTCCTGCCGAAGAGGATATGACCGACCTTGGCTTCGATAGTTGTGCCGTTTGAAGATTGCTGTGGATGGTTTTCCAACTTGGACTGATCTTTTGCATCCTGCGATACCCGACGCTGTCTCTTGGCTGGCCGGTCGATTGGGAAAGGCAACGTGGGATAGTCCATTTTTGGTCAGTTTGGTCATAAGATGTTGGTTGGGATATCGTGCTGGAGAGGGATTTATAGACCGACAAACGCCGCACCGAGTCTATTGTTATCCACCATTGTCCTCCCGGCCTGGGAATAGACCGCACATTGAAAGCGTCAGTGGAAAGTTCATTCAACTGTTGACACTCGATCTCACCTGCTGCTCACCGCAAGCTACTCAATTATATGCGAGAATGAGCAACAGATGAAGCCTTGAAGCGAGGTATTGCAGAAACCACCTCCTAATGGTAGTTTGCAAGTGTAAATTTGACGCATTGGATGCTATGCATTAAGTAAAAATCGTAGAAGTTTTACTGTGACGTTATTGTGACTGAAAGCTATTCGAAGAGTGGAGGTGCAGATAATTGATTCCGAGTGTTGATATCAAGTGACGCTGAAAACAGTCATTCTCGCATTTTATTACGAGAGGTGTAGATGTCGTTAGCTCTTACAGACCACCAAACCTTGTCCCCGGAGACCGCCTCAACAATGTTTGAGGGATGTTGTCGTCTTCCATTCTGATTCGAATGGCCCTCTTGATGCAATCGTCCCTTGCTATATCCAGGGATCTCTTTAAACTGAAGTATTTGAGTCCGGGATTTGCCACAAGTGCATCAACAATCGAGAAATGTCCACCCTTGACCGCCAGCATCAATGGATCCTCAAACCATCGATTTCTGATGTTGACATCAATTTGGCCATGGCGTAATAGTGCCTGGACCATCTCCAAGTCACCACCACGGGCAGCAATGCAGAGTGCAGTGTCGTGAGATGCGATGGTGCTCTCATTGATGTTCAGACGTGTGCCTTGTTGCACTAATAGCCTGAGCACATCGTGATGGCCATGTGCAACCGCTCGACAAATCGGCGGATCTATTAAATCCCTTCCATTGATCTCCACGCCCTCCATACCTAACAGACAAGCAACCGTGTTCATGCGTCCGTGATATGTGGCAACGGAAATTGGAGAGTGGCCTGCAACGCAGAGATTTGGGTCGATCCCTGGCACTGCAAGCAGCTGTCGTAGTATCACGGTATCCAGTCTGGTCGCGGCGTGGTGTAGAGATGTGGACGGCGTCTCGAATCTCCCACGGCCTCCAACAAAATTAACGTTAATGTCTTTCTCGGCCAACAGCCTTTCGCTTATCTCGTCGCATGACGAGTAAGTAGACATCCAAAGTGGCGTATTTCCATCTTTGTCTGTGCAGTTCACGTTGACACGGGGGTGACTTAGGAGCAAATTGACCATTTCCAGGCGTTTGCTTTGAATGGCGAGATGGAGCGGCGTATAGCCTTTCTGGTTCTGGATGTCCAAATTCAGACCCTTTTGTCCGAGGAGCCGTTTGACAGCATCTACCGACCCATAGGATACTGCTTGGTGAAGAGGTAGCTCAGCATCCTGTGATGATTGAGTACCAAGAAATACCTCGGACTTCGGATCGTTTGAAAAAATCATTTCCATCACGGGCCTGTTGAAGCGACGTGCCCAGTCCCATGGCGAGTGGCCTGAGTCATCCTGTAGATCAGGGTCGCTGCCACTATAAAGTAGCAGATGCACGAACCCTATTCTGCCTGCGAATACTGCTAGGTGGAGTGCCGTTCGGCCGTGTTTGTGCTTGACGTCCACTCTGACGTTAGGCTGTTCTAGAACGCTCTTGACGGTGGAGAAATTTCCATAGTGGATGGCATACGACAGGGCGCTGTGGCGTGCTTGATTTTGGATGTTGATATCTAACTCTCGACGATTCAGCAAGAGCTCACGCACAGCAGTGGAAGAGTATTTGAGCGCCCTCATTAGAGGAGTTTTGCCTCGGTAAAATGCATTGATGTTGGCGTTGTACTGAAGTAAAGCCTCTGCAAGACCAACATTATCGGTTCTGGCGGCCAGGTTCAGCAAATTGCTGTTCTGAAATTCGATATTGTATTTCCATATTCCGGGCTGTAGTTTTAAATAAAGAGTTGTGCATGATCTTGCGAGGGCAAATATCGCACTGCCGTCCGAATGCCCCACAATCCCCAGCAAAAGCTCGTTGGGGAGGTCTCTGATATTTGGCTGTGATTTATTAGCTCATCAGTAACTTCAGCAACAAAGACTTGCTACAGACCATGGTTAGACAGCGGTGGAGCTAGGTGGTAATCACAATGTAGATGAAGGTGAGGTGTGAAAGTTGGACGTGCGGAGGCCTTTATATAGTCGCCTCAGCTAAACTCTGTGGCCAGCTAGGAGTGTAGCCCAGCACTCCGCAGCTTGGAAGTTGCGCTCCCACCTCTACCGCTTAGAATATAGACAGAAGAAATGATATAATAAACAAGTATAATTAGAGGGAAAGGGAGAATTGCTATAATTCTACAGGTTCATGGTTGGGGCGATAATGGTTATGTACATCAAGTCTATTTGACGTGAGCCTGCAGGGTCTCGAGAACCTGTTCGAGAAAAAGTCAGTATTTAACCAGTCTAGTAGTCACCGCGGGTTCATACCTCAAGCTCAATCTTGGCCTCGGCGATATCCTGCTCGCTGCCGCTGCCGCTGGCAATTTTCTGGGCCTCGGCGATCTGGGCGCGGATGGACTAGCAAGGAAGTTCCAGTTAGCTTGAGTCGCGACGTTGCGAAAAAAAAATAACCTACGTCGGCGCTGAAATCCTCAAGGGCGAAGCCCTCGACAGCGTTAATGCTGAGCTGGGAGTCGGGCTGGACAACGGCGAAGCCACCGGACACTATACAACAATACCATTGTTAGTTGATTAATCCCAATTGACAAGAGACCAGATTTGCGGAATGTCTCAGGGCGCGAGGATCGGACGTACGGAAGTACTGCTTGGTGGCGCCGCTCTCCTCAAGGATCTCGACGAGACCGGGCTTGAGCTGCTCGATGGAGGGAACGTGGTTGGCGAGGACACCCATCTCACGAGAGGTGCGTAGCAATCACACGGCAGCACCAGAGCCCTGATAACAATGTTTTGGCGGCGTTGGAGAATCTCTGGAGTCAAGCTCCTGGGAACGCCAAATTTGTTCCTGGTAGTGTGTCAAGGGCCCCGGGGGACCGAATTTATCTTAGTACCCACTCCTCGCATCTAGCGCATGAGCATTGAAGCAAATCACTACCTGCACGCACTTCGAAATGTATAGAGGCAACTCGCAATTTTGCCGACTATGCTACCAACAACAATAGCCAATCCATTTGCCAATGCATGGTCGTCGCAATCTACAGCCACAAGTGTAGCTGATTTGGGCAGCAGTGATCTGGAATTCTATCCCTTCTCGCAGGCCACTGATCGGCCTATACCTGTGCATAATGCATCCGAATACATTCTTCGACGTATCGAGTGTTTCAAGGAAGGCGTCCCATGCCAGCAGCCACGCAGCCACGTAGGTAAGGAGATTATGGCGATGGCATATAAAGCTGGCGAGGGAACGCTGCAGAGATTGTCCAACACCAACTCCTATCAGAAGCATTTTCTGCCTTTGTCCACCATCCCAATGTCCACCATGCTGCCTTGGAATCCGTTTCTTGTTTGCGAGATAGAAGTCAGCCCCAATGGCGGTCCTGGCTTCTGTTGCGGGATGACGAAAAAAGGCGCTCCGTGCAAAAACTCGATCAAACTTGAAGACACCAAGATAGGCCATCAAAAGCTGAACACTGTCGCCAGAGAGCCGTTTGACCTGTCAAATTTGCAATCGAAGCTCTGCGCTATTGCCAGAGAATTCCTCTGCGCGAGATGGCACCGGCAACGGCAGGCCGAACAAGTTGGCCAGCAGTGGTATGAAGCAGCTGTCCGCAACCAGGCGCGAGTGCAACATGAATCTAGGATTGCCTCTCCATCAGTCATGGTACACCCGGGCCAGCGTCAGACATCGTCAGCCTCCAGGCGACGCCCAGCATCAGACAGCACTGACCGGTCACCAACTCACGGGCTCAGACAAGACCCGCCGGTGCGCCTCTCAGCCAGCTCCGAGCCGGTGCAATCAATCAATCCCTTTGTCACTGCCGAAATGCTGCGGACCAACAGTGTTCCATGGCACGTTTCGCCGGCTCGACCAGCTATCCTGACGTCGGTCACTAATATCTGGGCGGGTATCCAAGACTTGACGCTCCGGAGTCTCAGCTTGAGTGAAGAGCTCGAAAACATCCACTGTGTGTTTTGTTTGGCCGAAGATGAGGAACAAGCCCACGAGTGCGTAATCCTACGCTGCGACCAGTGCCGAGCGCTTTCCCATCTGTCCTGCGCGGAAGAGTGGTTGGAAAACCGACGTACAGGATTTGGCATGTCATGCTGCGCGTGGTAAGTATGGATGATCTCAATTCTGTAATGCCGGGATGCTGATAAATACAGCCGAAACGAAGGAACTCTAGACGCCTTGATTCGCCCACTTCGAGTCCCCTTGTCGGATACCGAGACACGTCATGTCCACACGGCAAGCGAATCATCTCCCAATAGAGAACTTGCCACTATGAGGAATTCATTACCAAATGATCCTCATCAGAGTCACCCGCGTCAGCGGTCAGTAGGATCCCCAGGGGTATCAGTTGAGCAGAGTGGCCCACGCCGCTCAGCCAGAGTAGCAGGGGCTTATTTCCCGCGAGACCCTTCCACCTCCGCACCGCTTCGCCGGTCGGCACGACTGAATTCTACTCAGCGTAGGTGATCACAGATTACAGCGAACGCGTGACGGAAATGGGAAATTCGCGAAGCGACTGTCTGTCACACGTGACTCCATATCCTGGTGATATGGAGTTTTGGAGCAAGCTTAGCAACCAAATAAATTAAATTCTGAACGTCAAACCCCACAGAACACTACGCGATCATTTCATATTTGCAAGTGATGTCAATGTACCTTAAAATGCTATTCGAAGTCTGCTTCATTTCAAATATTTTTTAGCTCGAAAACCGAGCGCCGGCAGATAAAAGCGCACATACCTAACGGCGGCGGCTAAAGTAAATGCCGACAGCGAGTTCAGCTGAGCCTTGTGGAGCGCGAAGACGGACGTTGTTGGCAGAAAGCACAGCTCGCGCGTCGGCAGGAGAGCCTCGACAATTCTATCCATACTGTCTCGCGACGTATTAGAACCAGCTCATCTATTTAATCGTCAACCATTGTTAATTTGTCTCTGGGAATTACAACATTGATCCTGGAAACGCCAATGGATATTATAGAAGCTGTTTATTCCCTGGGAACTTCTCTTTAGCTCCTGGCACCAGTTCCTGTTTCTAGGAATTTGAGGTCTACCCCTGGGAATCCACTCTACGATCCTGACTGGTTACGAACTGGCTCTGAGAACACAATGGCTAGATCTGGGAGCTGCCGTGCTCCTGGGGCCCTACTTTTGGATCCTGGTCTCATTATTCTGCTTTCTGAGATGGCGGAAAGCCCTCACAAGATACCTTTACCAGACCTGCGCACAAATATGAGTCATTCAACGACTCCTGGAAAGGCCAGCTATAGCCCCAGGAACCGCACCTGAGGTTTCAGGAGTTGATAGGACTGTCAACAGGAACATGACTTTGGTTCCCCGAGGTGGAGGTACAAGAACCCAGAAGCTATTTTGGGCTTCCTGGGGGCTATTTGGCTCCTGGAAGCGACTTCTTTGCTCCCAGAAACCGCACTGAAGCCCCTGGGAGCTACCTTGCTCCCAGGGCCAAGCCGTCATTTCCAGGGCTGATAGAGCTTGATCCTGGAAACCTCAAAAGCATTTATAGGAGCTGTGTATTCCCTGGGAATTCCTCTTTAGCTCCTGGGGCTATGTCCTGTTTCTAGGAAACTAATCTACTCCTGGGATCTTCACTCTACGTTCCTGAATAAACACGAAATTGGTTTGGGGAACGCATTGCCTGGATCTGGGAGCTTTTGCACTCCTAGGGCCGTATCTCTGAATCCTGGAGTCAATCTTCTGCCTCCCAGGGTAGGGTACTAACTCACGAAACACCTTCTCCAGACCTATGCACAAATCTGAGTCACTTTATTATTCCCAGATGCCTAGCCTATGGTTTTAGGAACCGGACTCAAGGCTCCAGGAATTAATAAGCTATCAACAGGGATATGACGTTGATTCTCCGAGGTACAGGTAAAAGCCCCAGAAACTACGTCGGGCTTCCCGGGGCCTACGTGGCTCCTAGAAGCCGCTTGTATGCCCCCATAAACCGCACTAAAGTATCCGGCAGCAAGATAACTCCTAGGGCTAGGATGTGAGTTCCTATCACTGATAGAGCTGTTCATAGGAACGTGACTAAATTCCTAAAAGTAAAGATGGATAGTTCTATAAGTTACGTACGATTTCCTCTGGCTATGTGATTCCTGGACTACTGACATGTCCCAGGGTCAGTTTTTGAAGTCTTTACGAACACCAAGGTTGATGGATATTTACACAGAAGATCGTCAACCATCACTTGTCCTATATATCGAGCCACTCAGAACACGGCTCCAATATCGGCCAATATCGACCGGCTAGTCCGATCAAGCGATGAATATGCTTTGATTCCAATCAGGAAATCCAATATCTAAATCATCTCCGCAACTCTGCAGTAAAGCCCCTCCTTTGCATGAACCTATCCGTCGCACCTCTCTAATGTTTATGGACTCCACCTCCCTCATTCTTCGAAAACCATCATAAAATTCTGCGATTGTTCTTATTCGTAATACCTGCTGTCTCGTTTTTCACAGCCCTACTCTAGTAGGCAGTTGGAACCGCCACTTTGACTGTGTTGTAGGCTCGGTGCGCGTTCTCTGCTAGTGACCAAGTAAGTCACGTACGACAAAACGCACAAAAGACACGATGACCACTAAAGATCCGAAAGCGGCCTGGCCAACGGATCCATAATACATAATATTGTAATATGGAATGTGGTCCTCGCTGCCAAAAAATTCGAAGGATGTCTGAAAGCCGTGGACGCGGCTGGCAATCCAACCCCCTAAGGAGAGCACGATCATGCTCACGATGATTTGAATGCAACCGTAGTAAAACCGAGCGGCGCAGTTCTCTTGTAGCCACTTCGGGTAGATCACAAGGATTAACCCGAAGATGGAAAACAGGGCTGAAACCAGGGCCGCAATCACCATGCCGTCGACGACGTTGTCCATGAGATTTTGGAATGTGATGTCCAATATAGAGTCGGTCGGGGTGACGAGGTCGGATTTTGCACGGTCTCGCAGGATGACCGCAAAGTGTACAATGGCCGAACTGAGACTAGCAAGGGCCAGCCAAGTGATGGTAAGGGAAATAATGACAAGACGCATTCGTATCATGGCGGCGGCAGTCCTCGGAGACATTTTGTGTCCGCAAGGGCAGATTTAGTGGGCGTGAAAAGGTGAGGCAGGTGTCGCTCAAGGGAACAGTTGAGCAAAGTAAAGATTGGGACGCAGAAGGATGAAGCAGGTCATTATCCCCGGGTACTGTAAGGTTATATGTGCTAGGTGATCTTCACGCAAATGCTGCCTCTACAAAGGGATGACCCAGCTGATACTGAGCGGCGCCGTATACCATTTAATTAGGTGTCTTAGTGGCATTCCACGGAGCTTTTACTAGATAAGTATGTTTCAAATTGAAGCACTATTCCTATGCTCAAGGCCGATGGCCTCTAAAGAAGTGTCCGGTCTCTTAGTACGGATCCCCGGAAATCACCCGTTTGTTCCCAGGATTTACTTTCCTGCTACTATATTATTATCCTCCTTAATATGTGTCGTGGTTGCGCATATCACTTCTCAAGTTTGGACGAACACCGACGGAAGATTTCTGATACCGACGTAGTTTGCCTTGGTCTGTTTGCGATACATTGTACTTGAGGAAACTACGGTTTGCTGTTGATTGAAAACCTACCCAACAGCCCCCAGAAAGATGTAGTCAACTCTTTTCTATATCTTTTGTTGAGCTTGTGTTTAACAGCCAGTGTAGGATGCGTCTCTAAGCCATGACAAAACCGTCACTGTTAGGTGAACCAACGCGGCCGATTAGGAAACGAGTTTCGAGTGGCAAATTTAACAAAGTCCCACTATTGGCAAGGAAACCAACATGGCTCAGATGGATATCTTCTATGGGCGGAAAACAACATGCTGCTGGTGTTCAATGGTGTTTTATGTTCAACGTTGATGTCAACGTTGATGTCAACGTTGATTCAACTTTCTGACACCATTCACTACCCTTATATCGCGAAAGGTGCTGGAATGAGAACACTCAAAAGATACTATCATATCGGCACAATACCAGCGGATTATGATCAAAGAACCTATAGCGTTCAGTGCTCCTGGAAGCACAAAACAGACTTTTGGCCAGTCGGATCCATTATCGTGGCTGCGCGGCGCGGCTGAATCATGGCCCTCTAGCAACCCCCAAGTCGTCAGAGATGCAATTCCCTTCCACACATTCCTGTTCATGGCCAAATATAACCTGTCAGCCATGTTGCTCCTGGGAATATACTTCAAATCAATTAGTGGCTTGAGCACCATGTGGATACGACAACTGGATTAAAACATTATTGATTCGATCGTTGGTGTACGTACCACAATTGTGGCCACATATTGACATCCATAGTCCTCCTAGGAGCCGGTGCTGATAATGGTAACCCGCAAAACCTCGATTGTGGCTATGGTGGGCATGACCGCTTCAGCCCCAAACATTTAAAAGGTCATGATTGTCCTCACGGTCGATGCTCTCGTGTCCTTCTTTTGCTTCAATAACTTACCAGTACAACACCATCACTAGCGAAGACAACCAATCATGGATCACAACCTATCACAGGTATCAAAGAGGTCCGATATCCTAGAAAAAGAACGTCACAATGGACGTATATGTCAAACTGGTATCGTTATCTTAAATACCCTTCTCTAGAAATCCACCGACTAACAAATCTATTTCATGAAGGCAATGAATCAGCTGAAAACTTCCGTCAGGTCGTTGGCCAATTCATCCACGGGAATCGCGGTCACACAAGCAAGATTTTACAGCCGCCTGTTGACCAGTCCACTGGCTCTGTAGCTACAGAGGTAGTTACTTCCGTCGCTACCTCTCTTGCTAGCTCAGGGGCCTCTACGTTGTCTCCAAGCGTCATAAAGACTGAAAGCCAAGACCTGCCCCCTCTGAACGCGAAAAAGAGAGCAGCCGAATCCTCAACCCTCCCACGAAAGCGACACCGACATTCATACTCCACCTCTCAAATACCGGGCCGCTCACAACTGGTGCATCGAAAGAGACCCCCAAGCAATATAAAAATCAGTAGGAAAATGGTCAACGATACAATTCAATACCTACAAACGCTATCCGACCGCATCTTGATCTCCGACGCCATTCCCCCCAGGGAGTGGGCCACTATGCATCTCGTCACCCAATTGCTACAGAGCAGGTACGAAGAGATCATCGCGAGGAAAGAGATGGAACCAGACGCTGTCTCCGATTTTGATTCCCCACCAACACAGCCAGAAGAGAAGTGCCAGAAGTGTGCTGCTGCGGACGAGGAGCGGCTGTATGACTGAGAAGCTTCTCGTTCTTCTAATCTTGCTGGCTGTATTTTGATAGCATAACTGGTCATTGGAAATTGAGGAGCAAATATAGTGTTATGTAACCAATAATCGATACATGAGAACCCGTTAAGCTTCAAATCTATCAGTCCATTACCAAGGGACTTTCAGGTGCGAAGACGGGTCGAACGATTTCGTGTGTGATGTTAGTCCACTCGACAAGCAAAAAGATACATGTGAAAACCAGCTAAATCTTGCTCTCCACTCAATGCAATAGAAATTAGAGAAATCAGACAGCTTGTACCAGACAAATCGGGGATGATGAAGAATTAGCATTTTCGCAGGTCGAATTGCCTCGAATATCAAAACCAGCCACTCTTTACATTATTCAACCCGCTTCCCTCGTAGTGTTGCAATGGCTCTGTGCTCTACAAGAATTGAAATATCTGTGCTATTCCGTTAATCAGCTCGTGACTGCTGGTCCTGATAACTCGGCGGTTTGGCAGTCATTTTGAGACTAAATGTCAGCATATTAATTCAAGTGATTCATTATGGCATCACTTGTAGACTCTATTAGACTCTAGTATTGGTAAGACAGGTAAAGCTAGAACGCCGAGACCCAAATCAGCCGTGCCAGTATTCGTCGGAGAATTGTGTGAGAGCGACTCGCCGTGCTGAAAGGCGAGCTTCCAAGTCAAAGGCATACCTAACCATAACCAAGTCCACCGGATTCTCTTTCTTCATCTGACCAATATGGTCGTTGCAGCGTCAACTAGATGCTGGTCGCATAGAAGTTGCGAGTGATCATTACATGGCCGTGTAAGTGAAACTCCCTCTGTGAAACGCAATAATTACTGGCAAGTTTGCCATTTCATGAGCCTACCAATTACTGTAATAACCATACCATGCCTGATCCGATGCGCTCGTTGACTCATGAGCGAAACATGAGGCCGCCATTACAAAGAAGCTGCCGCAGACTCTGGCTCGTTTGATAGCTTCCGTCTTTTTATTTTTGGCGCGTTGTCAGTCATAGGAAACCTAGAATTTGTCCGTGGACAGCTTTCCTAGCACTGTTAAGGGTAACAAGATCCCGAGGAAGTTGAGTTATGCTGAGTAGTGCGGTCATGTGTCGAGTCGTATGGAATTCTTAATTAGCTCGAGACTCATGTTCATGATGGCTGAACAGCTCATTGTCAGTTGTAAAAGGATACACGTGCCGTTAACAGTTGTATGCAAGCGCTGTGGCTCATCGGCCTCATCTTACGACAGTCAGTCGAAGCTGCCATCTCCTCTCATTGCCGAGAGTCCTATACTTAACACTGCGCCTACAAAATAAATGGAATTCCACTTTCTCTCTTAATTCTTGCACGTATTGAATCCGAGAAAACACACTTCTCTCATCATGTCAACTAACCCATTCAAAGAAAACATGATATGTGACCTTGGCACTATCAAAGCTCAATCTCAGCTCCCCATCTCGATATCAACCCCCATCACCTGCGAGAGTCAGATGGCGGCCAACACGAAACCAACCAGACCTCGCCGCCGCAGCAGATCGAAGGTTGTCACGGGTCTTCCCAAGAGCCTTTGTCTACCCCTCTTGTGTGGTCTTGAAAACATTGCATCCGTCTTGATCGTAAGGCAGGAGTCGCCGTGGGATACCTATCGGAAAGTCATTACGTATGAGGTCGCTGGCAAAGTTACAATTGCCACACGCCGCACCCGTCCGTCTCGCATGGTAGCCATCCGAACCTATCGAAAAGAAAATGCTCGAAGATTAATCTACAGATTCGGACGTCTTGAACACAGGAACGTTCTCTCCTTACATGAATGCTACATGCACGAAGATCTCGCGTTCTTCTTGGTTGACGACTTGCCGCTGACTCTCGCGCATGTTGTTGCTTTTCCATCTGTTTATCCCAGCGAGGCAGAATTGGGATCGATTATATGCCAGGTTTGTCCATCATGGCCCTATCGATGCAGTTGTCCTGACATTTTAGATCCTCGACGGTGCCCGCTGTTTAGCTTTATCTGGTCTTGCGCATCAATCTCTGGCCTGTGACGATATATTACTTGGTATTGACGGGATCATCAAGATAGGTTTGTTGGTGGCCCCATCCTTGCATTATCTGACTGACATTTCACAGCGTGTTTGGACCTTTGTGTAGATTGTACACCAGATCAATCCGAAGCCGCATATATTGCGGCCCTTCCGTTGATTACGATGCGGCTCATGCAGAAATGTGACAAAGATGAAGGCGTTGTTGGCGTGAATGATTTGGAGCGATGGCCAATCGATTCCGCTGCCGTGGGATTTCTGTCCGCTACCGAGACGGCAGGAACAATCAAGTCTCTAAGAAATGTAAGTTCTCCTAGCAAGCTATCGTATTTCGCTAATTCCAAGTAGCAACCCCTCTTGGCGGCGAAGCACCGCCCAAGCGATGATCTGGTCGTTCTGGCAAGAGCAGCTCTCCTCTCCAGTAGTGTGAATTGCATTTACAATTCCGAATTCAAGAACTGTTAACGGGCTAAGATATGGTGCACATTTCCATGGACATTTTATAAGTTTTCGTCATGGTCGTACGGTTACATCAATATACAATATTCCACACGTCTCCTGCCGTCCCCCTTTTGTTTTCTGGGTACCATGTTTCTCTTTATACTGAAAGATGTCCTGCTGCTACAGAGTTAAGATCACGTTACTGGTGCGGAATTAAAGGCTGACATCGATTATCGTGGCCCTTTGGTGACGTTCGCAACCTTCGGAAACCTGAGTCATAAGAATTTCATGCATTAATCTCGGTTTGACAATGAAGTCTCAAGCACGCTTCGAAAGGGCTCGTGATCACTCTACTAAAAAGGACCTAGCTCTTCAAAAATGAGCTTTGGGATCGCAACAGTACTGAATTGCCAAATTTCCACAGGAGAAGGGTTTTAAGCATCAAAAAGGCAAGAAACAGAACAAATATAATGACCAAAATAATACGAATGTCCCAGAAGCACTGTACATATGTCGCACGTAGACTTCAACTGCAGGGTGAATACTGGGAAACGAAAACAACTGGTGAATACTAATTCTCTGGCTTTTATTACCCTCAAAGGCTGACTAGTGATCGTTGAGCACCCTACAGTTGAGTGAGGGACAACTACTCTCCGATTGGTTCCTTTCGCCAATCGTAAACTAGGAGGGTTGTTAGAATACGAGCTTATTCATGCCAACTCCATTGTTTCTCACCTCCATCCACCTTTCAAGCCGAACAGTTAGCCCTCGGGACCAATAACCTATTTATACAGAACTATCCTTCGATTGTTATTTGCCTTCATATTTCCACAGAACACATCACTTTAAAGATGTTATCTACAACATCCACCACGAACGGCATGTATCACATTACTACTCTATCCTTGACAGTCTCCCTCCTTGGATTTGTTGCTGCCACAAGCAACCCTGTCCATCGATATGCGCAACTCCGAGCTTGGGGTCAGCCCGGCTGTCGTGCTAGTATCCTTGGCGAGGCAGGTATCTACGGTGATTACATTGGTTCATGTGAGCCATCGGTTAACTACGATACGGTCCGCTCCGTGAGTGTCGAAGCTATCGAATCAGGATGCACTCGTACGTCCCGGCAACTCTTAGACTAAACGTTACCACTAACAAATTTTCAGTGTACATTTACAGCAATCTGCAGTGTCATTCCGAATGGATCGAGGCTCCTCTTAACAAATGCGTCAGTGGCGAACAAGAGTATAAGATGTACAAATCGACATGCGATGCTTGAGATGAACTCTTGGGGAAACGGTGACAAATCTAATATCCGGGAGGTATAGAAGACTTCATTGAGCTCTATAGTGCATACCTGGTATGTCCCATATGCAGTCGACGTTGTGCACGAAGGAGCTTTTGAGACCTGTACTTATGCCGATGAAATCACATAGAGATACATGTAAGACGGTCATAAACTTCAGCTAAGTAACGCAGGAAGTCATAAATTCCCCCCAGTTTCGTGCCCAGGATCCCCTTTTCACATACAACATCCGCTTCTCAAACAGTTTGTACATGTATATGTTGGTATCTCTCAATTTACAATTGCCATACGTGACAAAAGATTTGTGGTAGGCTCAAGCATGACATGAGAAGATTCCACCTGTCCTTCACACTTGATCAGCTTTTGATGCGTCTGTGAGGACATTTACATGTAGCAACCTGTTCACATCAGTTGGGAGCAACCAGTGCCCGACCGAGGAGTATGTAGCCCCTGTGGTGTACATAAAACCTCGAATCCTATGGGCAAGCTCTTTCCAAATTGAGTGGTACAGTAGAGCACTGCGGAGACGTTAGACTTGATTTGAGGAAACTAACATCCGATTTTATGATGCAACAAGCGTATATAATCGTCCCAAATTGGCCATCTATGAGTGTTAGCTGCGTAGGATTGAGAGTGATCTGTTTTCATGTTGATAATTAGCCGAGAAACTGCTGAAGCCCCAATGGGTTGTTTTACCTTGAAAGTCCCTCAAAAATAGTCACTGCAATAGCAAACGAAGTCGCTTCAAAATTTGCCGCATCTCTAGCTTTATGCTCTAAATGTCCCATGACGTATGTTTTAGATAGACGCAATATTTTGTTCCAAGTTGTCATACTCATGCAGTGTGCATTTATGCTTCCCGAAAAATGGACACACAAATCAGTGGCTCGATGAAAGGTCGAAAACAGATGTCATTGACAGCCTCGGAGACGTTGATTCTTTGTCCTCTCCCCTTTTACAGTACTGTATCTTAAATATAAATAATTGGAACATTTTAAAATCCTCATCAATTGTCACAGTCACTACACGCATTAGAATGGCCCCAAGTGCTCGCCGGTCCGGCCGCCAAAGTGCCAAAAATGATTCTGAACTGGTATCACTACTGGATGATGGTTCTGAATCCCCGTAGAGAAAGAGTACTCGTTATGGTGCACACGCTTACGCAAAATCACTACCTCCAATCCCCCCGGGACGAACTGAGATGACCCTTTGAGTGCGGATACGAAATATATACCACGGACCACAGGTGTCGTTGCTAGTAGGACCGCCTGACGAACGCGGTCGGATTAATTATGATAAGAGGATGCGACAGAGGTGAAATGCCCTTGCCGCAGAGGCCGTTAGGTTGGATTGGATGCGACGCCTTCGTCCGAAGTCCCATCGGCGTGTTTAGCTAGTGGCAATCCACAAGCACAAGGCAAGCCTGCAGTGAAGATTCGAAAGCGGGCCTCGCTGTCCAAGGTGACGAGATGTGTGTGATACAGGAATGGAAGTTCGATTTTCCACGAGTATTGGAGGGTGTACCAAGATAATTTGATCATTGAGTAGGGCGTACTTTGCGCGTCAAGCGTGGCCTTGTCTATTCGTTGTAGCTCACTGGGTTCTATCGCAATCAAATTCCGTTGTACGTCGGCATTTCATTCAAGTTACGGTGATAAAATCGAAAGAAAATGGAATCTTGATATGGACAACATGTAAAAGTAGTAGTCCTTACACAAACCCAATAGAAAGCAACGAATATAGAGATTTGTATTAGCGATCTTCTGGCTTCTCAGTAAGGAACCAACAGAACTCAAACTAGTATTTCGAAGATGCCTCATTTTCGGATCGGTATAGGCTTAGGGTCATGTCAGGGTAGGTAGGCTCAGGGAAGGCTCAGGGTAGGCTCAGGGAAGGCTCAGGGTAGGCTCAGGGAAGGCTCAGGGTAGGCTCAGGGAAGGCTCAGGGTAGGCTCAGGGTAGGCTCAGGGTAGGCTCAGGGTAGGCTCAGGGTAGGCTCAGGGTAGGCTCAGGGTAGGCTCAGGGTAGGCTCAGGGTAGGCTCAGGGTAGGCTCAGGGTAGACTCAGGGAAGGCTCAGGGTAGGCTCAGGGTAGGCTCAGGGTAGGCTCAGGGAAGGCTCAGGGTAGGCTCAGGGTAGGCTCAGGGAAGGCTCAGGGTAGGCTCAGGGTAGGCTCAGGGTAGGCTCAGGGTAGGCTCAGGGTAGGCTCAAGGTTGGCTCAGGGTTAGCAAAATTGGGTATCAGCTCCGATGAGGGGAAAATCTGTGAGTTCCCCGCACTGTATTGTCACGCTTGGTCATTTATTCCCGCCAAGCATCGCTGTATGTTTTGTAAGGTAATTTTGACAATACCGGAAGAACTGGATTGTAACACACAGTAATCGTGCCACGTCGACCAACAGCTTTCAATACCGGGAGGGTGTTGATGGGCCCGGCGCGATTACATGGACCGGTGCCCGTTTTACTTGTAGCTTGCAATCTAGTCCTTAGCTGTGATACCATACTGCAGTTTCATGATTTGGACTCTCAGTTCGCGACTCTATAGGCTTCAGAAATAGAAGGCAATACACACCTCGGGAACTATTTCCGAAGTTGCCTCTTGCTCCTGATCTGCACCAGCCTCATATCACAACAAGCACATGTTGCCATGTCAATTAAGAGCGTGACCTGTGTAGCAATTGTCTTAGAGCAGTATGCTCTGAACCATCTTCCCACAATCAACGACGTGAACTCAACGATCATCCACACCATAGGAAGCAGCCCAGAAGTGCCCCTTTCATTCTACCTCGAATCGCAAGCATTTCGATGCATCTGTCTGGGATTTTCTTCTGTTTCGGACACACGTTAGCCCAAACTACGGCATATCGCAAGACATGCTGAGCTCTAAAGTATTTACCATGCCAACTACTGTACAATCGAACTCTACGGTCAAGATTGCAGCAAAACCACGTCATCTATGATTGAAATTCAAAACCCTGAGTTTACGCCTAACCACCAGCAAAACCATCTATCAGCTAGAAACTGCGCACCACAGAGGTCCCGTCACAGTCTTGTGAGAATCACTGGCATGTCGCTGAAAATGCATGATTTCTGAGAACGTTTCATCACAAATATTGCACGCAATCGTCTCGCTTGGCTTCACCTTTTTCAGATGTTTTCTTTTGATGTGTTTGGTGACATCCCCATGAGAGGCAAATTTCTGAGCACGTTTTGGAGGGTCTAGGTCTCGCTGGCCCAGACAAATAAAGCAGAATAAGGGTCGATGATCCTTCATAGCAGATCGAAGAGCAAGCTCGAAGGGAGTTTTTGGTTGCCTGGCGCTATCTGCCACTTCATTTTCCAGCTGGCGTTGATCATGGACCTCGACGTGTTTGCCAGGGTCTTCTGATCTTTTATTCCGCGGTAAACGGCAGGTGTCGCCCTCCTGAAATTGACAATACGCAGCCACTGAATCGATAGCTTCGGTTCTCCGAGCCATCTCCTCCTCTATCGTTGGGCGTGGCAGAGTCAAAAGACTCTTGATCAGCCGTTGTTGGGGTACAGGGACCTCTGCAGAGCACTTCAGCGGCTTACTTGAAGATTCAGCTGGCGCAATCCCGGACAATTGGCGCTTGATCTCTAACATAGGCTGTTCTCGGTCATATTTGTTTTGAATTTGCGCAAGGAGCGTATGCTGTGCGCGCTTCCTGGCTCCTGTTAACTCCTGATTCAGTTTTCTGTACATATCGTACTCCGGTGTGCCTTTGTGTTTTGAGAGAGGACGTTCTAGAGATCGGCTGATCTCATCGCGCCGGCCCATTAAGTTGAGGATTTCCGGCTCTTGATTCACGGAGCAGGATTGCTCCGTTGTCAGCTCCTGCGGGCGATCCGGGTCGATGGTTCGGCTCATCCGGCAAGCAGCGCGCATGATATCTTCTTCCGGGTCCAGGCCACGAATGATGGCGGGCAAGTTCTTGGAAATTCTTCTGCTGAGGTAGAATTTCAGAAATGTCCGTGTATCAGCGTGATGCATCACAAGATTGCGGAGGGAGTCGCTGACGGAACCTGGAGCTATATTAGTTGATCAATATTGAAAGATTGAGCAGTGCAACGTACCACTATTGTCCAAAGCTGTGCCTGCCCCATAGCGTAGGCTGTAGGGGCGTGTGACTTGCCGAATACCTGTGATCACGCCAATCTTCTTGACCCATGGTTCCAGAGTTGAGTAAGGGAGAGGTTTGTTGGGTGAGATGCCAATCCCATTCAAATTCCGTTCCGACATCCGAAATACCGGCACATCATCCATGGCCGGGTCAAGCTGTAGCCGTAGTTCGTTACACTCGTCGCGAATTCGAAGTCCAGGAAGCTGGCTTGCAAGAACCAGTACTTCCTCGCCATCAACACGGGCGAATGCACGGTCTGCAAAAAGAAGGCCCAACAGGAAGACATGAGGACTGAGCACTAACGAAGGATCGAAGATGATTTCGGGCAGGATGTAAGTGTTCCTGAAGGAGATGTCAATAAGAAATGACGGCGTGGAGTTGGGTGTACTCACGCGTCTTTAGCACCTAGCCACTCCTTGGTGAACTCAAAGGTAAACTCAACCACAATTCGATGTGGACCGCCCTGCGGATCACGGAGAAGACTGACTTGGATGTGACGATATCGCAGATCGAGGATGGCTTGCGGACGGTTTGTCGTGAGACCTGCGAGCTGCAAGAAAAGACCGAGCTCAATACGGTGGCGGCCATGTCCAAACTTTTTCTTTGTTGTGCTGACAGTGGTCTCCACGACTTTTGCCAGGTCTTCAACATCCATAGGAGGCTTGTCTCGCCCTGCGATTGACAACTTATACTTTTTGGCCAAACGTCTAATTACCTAAATTCAGAACCAGGTCAGCCTTGAAGGAGGGGCCAGGCCAGCTAGGAAGTGGTAAAAAGGGCCCTCGTACTCGACGCATCCGACGGTTCATCTGATTTCCAATCTTTTTTGAAGTGGACCTTTCGTAAACTAGCCGAAATACTTTCCAAAACGTATCCAAGGAGCTTTTGCACTTGATTCCTGGAAGCCTTCTCCCATTTTTACCACGTCGTAGATTGAGAGCCCATTCAAGAAAGTTGTATAAAATCGGGATCGATAGGCGGTTGTATTCCTCGTTGGGATCTTTCCGAATGAAACAGCAGAACCTTGGTGATACATTAGTGAGATCAAGAGTCTCCAGTAGAAAGGAAGGGGAAGAATGGAAAGCAGAACTAACTGAGACCATTTTTCCTCAATGCGGTTGAGAAGAGCGGTAGTGCCTTTGCCATAGTCTTCCTGCGTGTAGACCGTCTCATCGAAGTTTTGAAGTTGCTGGATGTAGTACTCTGCTGTGTACTCATTATCGGCGAAGAGTAAGCTCGCATCGCCAGCATTGCATGGTTGATATGCCTCATCTTCAGGTTCTGTCAAATCAGTGTCGGATCCACAGTCTTCAGTGCCTTCTCTCTCGGAATACTCGCTGTCGCTAGATGACTGGCAGCTCGCTTTACGAGAGCGGCGGGTCATGATGCGAAGGGTTGGGGTCGCGGCAGTGCCAAAAAGTCCTTGTTGCAGAAGGTCCTGAAGCAGGGCCTAACCAAGTATAGATAGACAATTGATTTTCAAAGCAGGGTTCGATAAGAACCTCGTTACTGTGACTTTGGGGAGCCTGACTGGAATGAGAGAACAAGAGAACGGCGGAGGGAATTGCTGCCATTTTAAATGACACGATTCTGGAGGAAGTCATTTTCGGCGCCCTTAAAGACTCGAAGTTTGGAAGGCAGGGGGAGGTAGTAAGGAAAGGGGACGGTGGAGTGGGTCAGAGGGCGCGAACCAGGCCGCCGCAGGTCCAAGTGGAAGGGTGCGTGGGTAGAAATGCCGAGGTGGGTGGCAGAACGGTTGGCAGATGGGCGGCCAAAAACGGCCTGAGAAGCGGCCATTTCTGGCCGTCCATTTGCCGTCATCTAGTTTTAAGTAGTATTATCTGTTTACCACTTAAAATAATAAGTGGTAGATAGATAAAACCGTCCGCCGAAACTACTTCTATCACCGTTATAGATTCACAATTTATAATAGAGCTATTAAAGATTTTACGCTTCGGTTGTCGAGTAATAATCTATTAATCTTTACCGACACTAATTTAAAAGCTAGTCTTATCGAAATTATAGATATCGCCGGGTAAGATACCATTTTCCTCGATACTCCGAGTGTATTCTTTAAACCACTTTTCTACTACCCCTTTATCTATTACTCGGCTTCGTTTAATATCGAGGGCTCGTCGGCGACGTCGGTAATATTGAGGATTACATTTTAAGAACCGATAAGTCTAATGGTCGCCGACCTTAAGGGGTGGAATTATGGGATCGGTATACGCTTCTTCGAGGATTAAATTCGCGGCGATAGTGATTTATGACTAGTTTATTATAGCGCCCGCTTGATCGAAGTAATCAATGAATTAGCATAAAGCAGATTCTTATATAGAACTAAGCTTCCGACCGTTAGGTTGGCGTTAAAATAGGGATTTTCCACCATTCTATCGATACCGAAGCCGGCACTTAGGTACGTTGAATTCACGCGTAGTTTTCGCGATATAGGGCTTAGATTGCTAGGATAAAGAATCCATTGCTTTAGCAATCTGAATCTCAATTTTGGCGTTGTCTTTAGGCATAGTGATGGAGAAATTGATAGTTGAATGTGGTAGGTTGAATTCTGGAAAAAATCTACAATTTGGGTGCAACTACAAAGTGGGTGGCGGACCCTCCTGTGGAGGGTCTGGTATTTTTTACCAAAAAATTGCAAGGCCCGGTTAGTGGTTTTTCTCTTGTTATCGTGGAAAGCATCTGGTCGACTCCCAAACAACATGGAGGCTTCTTCCATACGTAGTCTACTTCCATACGTAGTCTACTTCCATACGTAGTCTACTTCCATACGTAGTCTACTTCCATACGTAGTCTACTTCCATAAGCAGCCCCTGGCATCGTTCCTCGGTATCTCAAAAGGGCCTAGCCCGTATAGGCCTGCTCAGCAACAGTACGGTTAAGAATAACAAACCAAGTACTGTAGTATCTGAGACACAAAATTAATTGTTCTTTAATTCAGCAAATGATTGAGGTTGCGGAAATCGTGGTAAATCTTGGGATAGATATTGTCCCATGATCTATTGATTCGTGAGATTATCAAGGTGGACGAAAATCGTAGTGTTTCTTACGATACCAATAGTGTGACGGGGGCTTGGTTCATGAGAAGACCCTTAGAATTGCTGAAGGATCGTGACGTTTCATAGGACAGGGATGGTCGTATGCTCTTGCGAACCGCAAGAGAGTCGGAACTCGCGGAAACCGTGGTTTTTCCTATGATACAGATAATCAGATGATCGGGTTATCTTTATAGATAGCCAAGCACCGCTAAAGGCGCTCCGCCGACCGCGCATGCCGTTGGGACAGGTCTACCTGACAGATGACTAGACTTGATCCGCCAATTGGCGGAACGGGGCGTTCGAACCGAGCTCAGGTGGATCCCATCTCACCAAGGGGTGTTAGGCAACGAGATCGTAGATCGACACGCCAAAGAAGCCGCCCAAGGACCTGACGGGCCACAGAACTCCCTCAACCGATATATCCGCCTCGCTGCCGCGGCTAAGCGCCGGTATCGCAGCAAGGCGAAGATCGAGTGGGAGAGAGCGTGGATAAACGAGAAGACCAGCCGAGCGACGAGACGCTTGATCGAAGCACCGACAAAGAATAACATGGAATACTGGTCAGGACTGCGCAAAGCGACTACGTTGATACTGATGCAACTACGCACCGGGCGCATCGGCCTCAGTGCGTACCTAAATCGTATCAACCGACGCGACTCGGCGCGGTGTGATTGCGAACTGGGCACTCAAACGGTGAACCATATTTTGCTCGAGTGCCGGTTGCACCAAGACGGGCGCGACTGGATGCGGAGCGCCCTTTCCGACCAGGGGATCGCTCTCCGTCGAGACCAGCCCCAGATGCGGCCGGAGGCACGCACAATTGTGGCCGATTTCATGGTCAAAACAGGTCTTTTGGGTCAATTCCAAGCAGTCGACCCAATTACCCTGGATGCAGAAGAGGCTGAAGAGAGAGAATGACCCCTCAGGACAGTGTGACGGAAGAAGAAGGATGGCGCGCCCATTAGGAGCGCAGTGACAGGTCCACTGCACTCCCTTGATGCAAGCGAACACAAGAGCGGCAGCCGACAGCCAGGATAGATGCGCAAAAGAGGGGTGTGGGGAAGGAGCTGTGCGGCGAAGTAGACCTTGGGTTATGGAGGAGGCCAAGGGTGTCGTTCGTTTTGAATTTCCTTTATTTATTGTGTTTACGTAACCGTGTTTGTCTTGCTTGTAACTATATAATCGTGGGCGACCAATCAGGGGATTCCCCCCTGCGAGCCCCATGAAACGGTCGTTCAGTGGGCAGGCGACCACCTTAAAGCTGTCGGCAGGCCTGACAGCGCTCCCGCATAGCAGCATATATTCAGTGCGAGCTACATCGGGCTAATGAATTCATCATCATCATCATCATCATCATCATCCAGGGCTTTGATGATGCCTTCCGTCTTGGAGATGTTAATGTTGTGATAGGAGGCTGGTGCAGGTCAGGAACTAAGCCGCACCATCGGAATTGATTCCCGAGGTGTCTATACGAAGAAGCAAGTCGATTGGAAATCAACTTGGAGCTCATGCTGTATATATAGCCTCACGTATTCCCTCTGGAAGATAATCAATTAAGATTATCCCTCTGAATTACAACAGTTAATCCATGTTGCAACCCTTACACGCTATTCACATGTTAGTTCTATTTCAATTTACCTTCGCGGATGGGTAGGAATCTCACATAAAGTGAAGAAACAGGAAATTCTTTCGGTAGCACGACTTTGAGTCCGAGTAAGCGGTCTATCATGTCACTATCTTGAGCTGAGAATGCCTCTTTCCATTTCGGTCTGGGCATGTAGGGATTTACTACGCTCTTACGTGCGCCTCCTAGGGAGAAGGGGACGATGTCGACGGAGACACCGTGGGCTTCGAGAAGAGGTCGGTAGCGGTTGGTGGTGGTGAATCCAAACCGGGAGTAGGGAGATACTTTGAGATGATGCTAATTGTGAGAAAGATGGATGATAGGGATATGAACGAACCATAGTCGACGAAGATTGTGAGCTTCCTACCATTCGGTCGACCCATCGTCAAACGAATCGAGCTACTTGGTGTAGTAATTTAATGCCTTCTTAATCCCCTCAATTGCTCCCGGCGTCTTTTGAAATAAGCATGAAATTGAAAATTATAAAAAAAATGTCGTAAGAGCTGAATTGCTGACTTCAGCCGAGGCGAGGTTCGGCTTTGGCTTCTGAATAATAATCATCGAATTCGCGGGGGAAATGCCTTGCTAGCACCCCTTTTTGACCTTTAGTGTGACATTTTGGCAGGAACATGCCCCTAAAGCTTTTTTGGGTTTGTTTACTAATCTGGCCGACACCCCGAAAGCCACGTGAAATATTCGGAAATTCGTGTCAGATATTACACTGACTTGATGAGAAAACATTAAGTCGGGCGGTGAATGTATGCCCGCTGGAGGGGCCACCGGCCGCCGCCAACCACGATCCTTGTGGATATTGGGATACTCTCCGGAATCAGTAGCAAATCTACGGACGTAACCTTTCTTTCACTCCTGCGGGAGCTAAAATATCCTGCTTCCCTCCTGTGTTTCCGCCTTTTTCGAGATCTATTGTCCTTTCGTCCAATTTTGGGATTGAAAGCTGCCAGATGATAAGCATTTTTTGCAATCATGCCGATCGAGTCTCACCACCCTCCAATTTCGATTCCGCCAGTCGATTTTTGGACTTTCTTATTTGAAAGACCAGATCGGAAATATCCAGACGACCACGGTAATTTGTTTTTCACTGCAGCGCCTACTTCTTCATGATTTTATATAAGATTAACTAACACACCTCAAAGTACTTTTTGTAGATGTCACAACACAGAAGAGGCATACCTTCCGAGACATTCGCAAGGCATCGGTCGAAATCGGTCGAGGTCTTCGAAACCAATGGAGATGGCAAAAGGGGGACGTCATGGTCCTATTTTCTCCTAACACTGCGGACATCGGAGCTCTTGTGTTGGGAATCCTATGGGCAGGCGGCACCGTTTGCCCCGTAAATAATCTTTACACTGTCGGAGAATTGGTCTCGGTGCTGAAATCTTCTGGAGCCAAAGCTTTGACGACGCACTTGGGCTGCCTCGAAGTAGCTCGAGAAGCTGCTCTCGTCGTGGGATTGCCTCTCAATCGTATCATACTTATCGGAGGGCCTGACACGAAGGAAATGACGAAACATTTTTCGTCGCTGCGAGATTCATCAAGTGGAGGAGAAAAGGTGTTGATAAATCCTAAAGAGGACCTGGCATTCTTGGTATATTCGTCTGGGACCACGGGTCTTCCGAAAGGAGTTATGCTCTCGCATGAGAACATCGTCGTCAACATTTTGCAGAGCAATACACCGGAAAAACATCTGGTGACCTGGGATAATGATTCAGTCATCTCTTTTCTACCTATGTTTCATATTTACGGTATGATTTAAGGAGCCAAAACATTCTGAATTACACAATATGTTGACATAATATTAATTAGGTGTTGCGGTCATGGTTTTCCACCCTATATATAAGGGAGTCACTATGCATATTATGCAACGGTTCGACTTGCTACAGCTATGCCAAAGCATCCAGTCCAGCAAGATTACAGTTGCATATGTTGTGCCACCGGTGGTACTTGCCCTTGCAAAACATCCGGTAGTGGACAAGTATGATGTTAGTTCACTTCGGGAAATGCATTCTGCCGCTGCACCTCTCGGCACCGACTTGATCGACATGATTTACAAAAGGTTGAAGGTGCCAATCAAGCAGAGTTACGGAATGTCAGAAACATCGCCTGCGATTACTACTCAAGTAAATCCCACTCCGACGTTCCTTCATCTCTCTACTGATAAGCGTTTAGAGTAGGGAAAGCTGGAACAAGCCACCCGGTTCAGTAGGCAAGCTCCTGCCTTCTATGAGCATGAAAGTCATGGACGGCGAGCACGAGGTTCCACCGGGCCAGGAAGGAGAGATCTGGATAAAAGGCCCCAACGTCTTCAAAGGCTACTACAAGAACCCAAAAGCAACAGCCGATGCTATCGCCGATGGCTGGTTTCGCAGTGGTGATATTGGCTATATCAACAATGATGGGAACATCTTCCTTACCGATCGCTTCAAAGAAATGATAAAGTACAATGGATTTCAAGTTGCGCCTGCACAGCTCGAAGGTTTGTTGTTAGGGCACCCTGCTGTTAATGATGTCGCGGTGGTCGGAGTTTACAGCAAAGAAAGGGCGACGGAGCTACCGCGGGCGTACATTGTTCCTGCAGAGGGTCACACACCTGGTGAAGATTTGGAGACAGTCATCAGTGCATGGTTGCATGAGAAAGTGGCTCCATATAAGAAGTTGCGTGGTGGGATCAGGTTTATTGATGAGATACCTAAGAGTGCTACTGGGAAAGTTTTGAGACGAGTGCTGGCAGAACAGGCGAAGAGGGAGCAGGAGGGGGGCAGGAAGGCAAAGCTATAGTTTAGCATTTTCAATTCAGCGAACAATTATACGGTTTTATTTCAAGACTTTATATCATCAATTGCTCGATTAGGAATATGGCTCTATCTACTACCGTGGATGTCAAAACATGGACTTCTCTGCTTATATGCAGAAATGGTGAGGAAATGAATGTTTCTCATAAAGCGCAAATGTTGACACTATTATTGAACGAAATTCTGAGACTACAGAACATTCGCAAACGCAGTGCCATAGAGGAGTCAACATCGATACTCAACATTGAGAGCTACCAATCGCCGAAACATGTATATTAAAGCCCTTCAGTAATCTAAAATTCAAATGTTTCCCCAGCAATTGAGTTGGGAATTACATTCTGGAATGCCGGGGGAAAAAGTGGCCGACCTGTTGCCCCTGCGTCAAACCAACCTCGGCGACTTTATTCCCGCCCTTGGAGATTACTACCTATCCCACCGAGGCAGATTATTAATCATTGAGCGTTCGGCTCCCGATCTATGGTACAAAAATACGGGCGTAATATGCGGCCGTAAGCCCAGTATTAATATTCTTTAATCCTCGGTGGCTGAGCCGGGTCTCACCCCAAAATCACTTCCGTCCATTATATGAATATGAAAGTTGAGAGGCAACCGAACTACTGCAATCATGCCTTTAGACACTGCTTTGACAAGAAAGTTAGGAATTTCGAGTGAACTTCACCAATACCCCTCTATATTTCTTTGGCTGATATTCGAGACAGTTCCGGTTGTGCAAGGAGGGTTGCAATGGGTTGCGTATGCCGAACTCGCTGCCGCAGTGAGCAATGCTGGTGGATTGGGAATCGTGAGTTACCATTTCGATTCAAATTGCCATCTGCTGACCTGAAATGTTAGATCAATGCTCTGACGCAGCCTGATCCGGGTATGTGATTAATCACCCATGCCCTACCACGCAACGTTAACCGACTTGGATTTCAGAGTCACTGCGAGCGGAGATCAAGAAAACAAGAAATCTGACAAAGAAGCCGGTAGGATTTCTCCCATGTGAAATCTCAACGCAAGCTTATTGTCGGCCAGTTTGGGGTCAATATCACCCTCTTACCAGCACTGAAAGTCCCCGACTACGGCGCCTTCACCAGAGTCATCATCGAAGAAGGCGTAAAAATCGTGGAGACAGCAGGAAACAACCCCAAACCCGTAATCTCGGCATTAAAAAAAGCAGGCATCATCGTGATCCACAAAGCCACAACCATCAAGCATGCTCGCTCCGCCATCAAAATGGGCGTAGATATTTTATCCATCGACGGATTTGAATGTGCAGGTCATGTGGGAGAGACGGATATCACTTCCCTCATTCTTTTGAGTCGAGCACGGCAAGAATTTGGGGACGTGCTGTTTATTGCTTCGGGGGGCTTTGCGGATGGGCAGGGCCTGGCTGCTGCGCTGTCTCTTGGGGCGGCAGGCATCAACATGGGCACGAGATTTGTTTGCACGATTGAGGCGCCGGTGCATATTAATGTGAAGATGGCGATTGTGGACTCGGGTGAAGAGGATTCGACGCTGCTGTTGAGGAGGTGGACGAACACTACGAGACTTTTCTCTAATGATGTTACGGCTGCGGCGCTCAGGATTGAGAGGGAAAGTGCGATCGGGGACTTTGAGGAAGTGGCTCCTTTTGTTAGTGGTGCGAGAGGTCGGGAGGTCCTAATTGAAGGGGATATAAATCGAGGGGTAAGAAAGCCACTTAAAATGTGGAAAGTTTGCTAACGTTAGTGATAGGTTTGGTATGCTGGGCAAGTGATGGGGTTGATTCATGATATACCAAGTTGCGACGAGCTTCTGAGCCGCATCGAACGTGAAGCGGAACAAGCTCTCGCAAAAATTGGATCTTTGGTCTCTACAGGTAAGAAGATAGACAGCAAGTTGTAAACTTTAGATTCTGGAAAGGGTTGTTCAGATAGTTGGGGCGCAGAGTTCCGAATCAAGATTCTTCCACACTTGCCCTATCACGCTGGCACTTAGTCTGATCCTCCGTACACAATCTGCCCCGCCAAGCCATGGAACGGAAATAAAACTAGAGTCTAGTCCTTCTGAATCCCAGTTAGGCGAGGATAAAGTCAAGAATGCAAGTTCAAGTGATATATAATTCCGCCTCTCCTATTCGCAAGACTTTGCGTCTGTTTGGCGAATTCAGAGCTAAATAGAAAAAAACTAGAACCTACCTTTTACGTGGGAAGGACGCGAGAAAAATGGTGGAATTGGAACTTAGGCCCTCATTTATCTCTTTACAGGATAGCGATGGAGAGAATGCGGACTCACTGCTGGATGTGGCAAGAGATTGGTGGAGAGATAGTATTACGCAAGAACGTCTACCAAATCCTTGCTGAACGCAGTGTGCCGCCATGGGAACTTATTACTCCAAGATGCTACTTGCCTCGCTTGTTGGAATTCTCCATCAATACGCCATGGTATCTCTCAAAGATGACTCTGATCGCAATGCTAACATCAGAAATTTAAGTTGTGAATATCCTGAAATTCCGTTACCTTGTCCCAATGCGCTCTACCAACTAGTGAGACCTTACATGAGGCGAGAGGTTGGAAAAACTAAGACAGAGCTTCGGGTAAAAACGAATGCTCCTTTTTACTGATATTTGATAAGCTATGGGGAGCCTCGAATGGATCAACAGGGAAGCTGCTGCTGCTGTGGACGACAGTTGTCAAAGGCAAGCAAGTTCTATTCGATACATTCCTGGTCCGCACTAATATTATACATCCGTCAACGAATCTGGGTCGTTGATTCGCACGTTTGCGAACTTATCAACACTGTTTGAGAAACTCCTCAACTCAGGTTCCATGTTACGCCAACCATACAAGGAGGTATAGTAAGGGAATGCGGAGGAGGTGCCTATGCACCACCAGAGCCGCCTGTTGATACATCACCTCGCTTACCTGGTTGCATACGCACGGAGGGGACCCCTCTAAAAAGGAGGAGGGGGAACCTCTTAGGAGGACCAGCGATTAGTCTGAATATCATCATACCCATATCAGGCACATCTCACATTCTTCACTTGTATCTATATCGTACCAGGACGCCCCCAGGGGACTGTCCTAATAATGTTGTAGGTTTTTCAAAAGCGCAGTAGTCGTCAGGTTGTCAGGTTGTCAGGTTGTCAGGTGAGTTTTTCTTACCAGTAGCTACTAGTAGGATTTTACTAGTAGCTCATAGTAGGAGCTCACTTCTTACTAGTAGCACCTAGTAAGAGGTTTATAGGTCTGAAAAAATAAATTACAGACCTTAAAGTTGTTAGGTTGTCAGGTGTGCTGCACTAGTAATAGAATAGTAATTACTAGTAAGCTGGGAACTACTAGTAAAAAGTTCCTAACAAACTCCCTCGTGTATTTTATCGCTCACCTGATAGGGTGGTATATATTAAAGATAATATATAAGAGGATAGTTTGTTAACTCGAGGCTATTACTAGTAGCTACTAGGAGGAGCTATAGTATTTGAAATATAGTGTCGGTATTATAATTCTAGTTATTACTAGTAACTACCAAGTTAGAGTAGCTATCAGGTGAGTTTATACTAGTAATAAAATATAATATCGTTAGACAGATATTACTAGTAACTACTAGGTAGAATCCTATATTTAAATTATAGTATCTGGTATTATATCACTAGTTGCTACTAGTAATTAGAAAAAAGAAAATACTATTATATTATAGGTGTACTAGTTTCTAGTTATAACGGCTATAGTAGTGGCTTCGGTTTACTAGTAGCTACTAGTTATAAATAACCAATTTATAAATAAAATCTAAAAGCAAAAGGTTAAAAAAATAAGCAACTAATAAGCGATTCTTAGTCATCCCTAGTTATTCCTAGTCACTACCACCTTCTTATAGTCTATCTATTATCTCTATCCGCTACGACTATAGCTCCCGTAGCTCTAGTAGTCATTAGGTTAGTAAGGCCTTTACCACTAATATCTCTACCTTTACTACTAGCCTTTTTACCGCTAGGAAGCTTTTTACTAGCACCTAAACTAGTAGTTTTAGTACCACTAGCACTAGCACTAGCACTAGTACTAGCACCACCGCCGCCGCCGCTAGTAGGCGGCGGTAGTCTATTATTATCATCATCATTATCATCGTCAGCTTCGGAATAGCCTTTATCGCTCTCCTTATTATTAGTGGTAAAGGCTTCATAGTTAGACCTAGAGAGTAGTGGTTATTAGTAACAATTAGTTATAGGCGGTAACTACTAGTAGTAACATACTCTTAACCGCTACTAGAGACACCTATAGTAACTTAGAGATTAATATAGCGGCCTATATTCTTTATCTATAGATATACCCGGTCCTTGCTAAGTAACCCCCACCCCCTTCGGGTGTAGGGTTACCACACCGTAATGTAAACTCTTGCTCAACGTAAATTTTACACCACCCACCATTTTTACCACCATTTTATATCCTACCAATATGCCGGAAAAAAATCTAGATTTGGAGAATACCCTTACAAATGCTCTCTCTATATGGCATGCTCGAAAAAAACCAAAAATAGCCCTATTGGCGCGAGAATTCGGCGTTCCTTACAATCTGTTATATAACCGGGTTCACGGTTGGGGTTCTCGTTCGACGCGCCGTCCTACCAATTCGATATTAAATCCGGATTAAGAGTAAGCCCTAATTAGCTGGATCACTATATTAGACGATACTTGCTCTCCACTAACTACTAGAATGGTGGAAGGGTGCGCTAATTTAATGATTCTACGCGCTAATACGGAGGAAAACACGTCACGTCCGCCGGTTGATAAAAACTAGGTATACCGGTTTTTAAAACGTATCCTACCTACCTATAACCTTCATTTTATAAAATAAAAACTAAAGGAAAAGAAGAGAATGGAGGCTAAAAATATTAGTTATCTTACTACTTGGTACTAGCGCTTAAACTAGTATATCGAAAGTCTAGGAGGTTATAGGGGTTAGATGGTAGGAAAGAAAAACTAAAGATGAAAGGTAAGAAAGTAAAGAGATAAAAAGTTGTATTTAGTTAATTGAAGTATATTCAATATAAAGAAGATATTAACCGTGTTGTAAAAAGATTATTATCTCGGTGGTTATAGTCTTATTTATCTCTTTTGAAAATAGATCTAGATAGATCTAATTAAATGTGTTATCGTCATAATGATAGATTTAAAATGCATTGTATAGTTATATTATTAAATCATATGTAATGTTGCATTTTAATAAATTCATATATGGTTTATATTTATTAAATCATTATTTGTAATGTTGCATTTTAATAAATGCATTGTATGGTTATATTGTAATGTTGCATAATGCATTGTATGTTCATATTATATTTTACATTGTATGGTTATATTATTAAATCATTATTTGTAATGTTGCATTTTTAAACTAAAATGCACTGTATAGTTTAAATCACTTACATGTTATATTAATAGGATTATAATAGTAGAAGTATTAACTTTTAAATATGATAGAAAGTAATAAATTAAGCCCGCGGGATATCTATAACTTCGACGAAACTAGCTTCTAAATTAGCTAAGGAAAGCCTTAAAAAGTTGTTTTAAAAAGCCAGACTCTACTTTCACTAAATGGAGGTATTGCTAAGGGTATTACCGGCATTGAATGTATTGCTACCGATAGCTAGAAGATAGCACCTTAGTTCCTAGTTAGGGGTAAATTCTATATAGAGAATTAGTATAAAGGTACTAATCTTCCGGAGGATTATACCCTAGTAACTACACTATATAGGTATACTATAGATCAAACTATAGTTTAATAGCTTCGCGTTTTTTATCTAGCAACTAAGGATCGTACTACTTAGGGTAGTAAACGCCTTTTATTAATAGATAACTATAGATCCCCACCGTACCTTAGAATTTATCAATTTTATAGCGGAAAATAGTATTATCCCCTATTACTTTAGGGTATTGTTAATTACACCCCCCTTTGGATAATCTCACCCCCCCCCCTACCTGAAAATCCAGGCTTCATAGACCGCCTTCCTCACCGCCTTTCAATTTTGTACACCGCCTTCGTGTCAAACAACCCATATAATACTAGCAAGACGGCAGATACCTACAATTTGTATATAAACCACTAACAAAATTAAGTCACTTTTATCACATAACACCCCGTATATATATATAGATAGGATCAAAGAAATTGATACTCCAATTCTAGTTTATATATATTAACCTACCTTCTTTAAAGCCATTTTTTTATCACTTTCTGCCTCAATTTTATCGATTTTATCGCTAAAACCGTCAATATAGCCTCCCTAGGCCTTATATATCTAGAATTAGATCTATATTCCGATCCGGAGATCGTCCCCGAGTCTCTACCGGCCGTGCTAAGCACCGAGTCTTTCTCTCCCGCTATACTAAGCACCGAGTCCCCCGTGCTTTATACTATACCTCTCCCCCCTATTAGTTCAGAGTATAGTACGCTAAAGGTCTCGCCGCTATCAATAATCTCGGCCGTATATATAGGTATACGGTTTTATCAATTCGGACTAAATTTATTAAAAAGGGCGTGAAAAAGACTATACGCCTCCGCTACGACCGAGGTCTCGTACTAAGAGATCGGCCTAACGACGGCCTAGAGCGGAAACGACAGACTACCACACTATAAAATGAGTGTCCCTTCGGTATATCGCTTCGATTAAACTAGATAATAAGTGCCTAGTTTCTTACGGTCGAAAATGTATTATATAACTATCGACCTTCCCCTATATTAACTCACGCCGTTTAACGAAGTAATGAACTTTTAACCATTAAGGCGGATATCTAGAAGTAGCTAGAATAAGGCCTTCCTACTCGCTAAATTCTCACTAGCATTCGTAACGAAAACCCAGATTTATATATTATCCCTCGGGATATCTATAACTTCCGGCGGTAGGTCTATATAGAGTTCCTAGCCGGTCGTACCCCCCTATAAGCGTTATTAATAGAGCTCCCGAAAAACGGCGACTAGATCTTCCGGTACGAAGTGGATGATAATAACTATATTACTACTTTATTTTATATATATAAATCTAGTGTTACTATACTAAAATCCAACCCCTAGGTCATTTCTATAGATTGTACGTATAAGATAAACCGGTACGGGCTACTATTACTTAATATCGTTGGCTTTACTACCACCGGAGCTACTTTCTATCTTAGCTTTACATTTATAAAGGACGAGCACTAGGACTCGTACGAAGTTATCCTTAACTGCCTCGCCGAAGTATATAACTCCCTAGGTCTCGATCCCCCCTATATAATTCTTACAGATAAAGAAGAAGCGCTAATAAATGCAATTGAAGCTGTCTTTCCTCTGATAAAGAGCATGATTTGTATCTGGCATATTAATATGAATATCTTGAAAAAGGCCCGGCCAATTCTTCGGGATTAGATCGCAAAAGCACGGAGCGAGTTAAGCACCTAGTCGAATACCACCTAGTCGAACACCACCTAGTCGAACACCACCCAGTCGAACACCACCCAGTCGAACACCACCTAGTCGAACACCACCTAGTCGAACACCACCTAGTCGAACACCACCCAGTCGAACACCACCTAGTCGAACACCACCTAGTCGAACACCACCCAGCCAAGCAGCACCCAGCCGAACACCACCTAGTCGAACACCACCCAGTCGAACACCACCCAGCCAAGCAGCACCTAGCCAAGCAGCACCCAGCCAAGCAGCACCCAGCCAAGCAGCACCCAGCTAAGTAGCACCCAGCCAAGTAGCACCCAGCCAAGCAGCACCCAGCCAAGTATATAGCGTCAAATAAAGGCCTAGCGAGAGAGGGAGCTCACCTAGAAGGTTGATAAAGGCTGGGAGAAAATGCTAAAGCGCTGGAACCGAATTGTGTACGCTACTTCCTCTAAGGTTATAAACTAGTAGTGGGAAATCTTCAAAGAGAAGTATAACGATCCAATCTTCCAGCCGTTAATTGACTATATTTAAAAAGAGTGGCTTAATGACTACCTAGAGCGTTTTCTTTATTGCTATACCGCTTAATATCTCTATCTCCTTAAGATTGCGACTTCTCGTATAGAGGGAGGACACTAGCTGCTTAAGTAGGATCTATAGGTTGTAAGAAATGATCTCCTCGTTATTCTCTAGAATTTCTATCGCGTTATTAATCTATAATTTAATAAGATCACTACTTAAATCGAGAATAAGAAGATTAGAAGGCTAACCAACTCTTAGAACCTATATAACTCTCTAGCTAAGCGGATCTTAATAAAGGCAATTTAGTATATGAAGGACATTTACGACAGATATCTTCTAGAAGGATAGGAAGATAAAGCTCTAATTCCACTATTATACACTTATAATTCGAAGAATATATCTAGTATCCTATATATTTATATTATTAAGGAGTATAAAGATAAGAATAAGAGCCTTAACCCCGAGCTATTCCACTAGTATTAGCATTTGTATAGTGTGTCTACTCCACTAATCAATCCTCTCCTTCTACTCTAAGATCCTCTATAGGTTCGATAACGAGGGCGTCCACGAGGAGCGAGAAACTTTATTAGCTAGTCAACTATTTAGTAAGCCACCTAGTAGAGCACCTAGGATATCCTCTCTTCGCCGGATTCCCTCACTTAGGATCGATCTACCCGGCGAGAACTATTAGCATTCGAGCACGTACTATCGTAGGAACGTGGACGTGGACGTGGACGTGGACGTGGCCGAGGACGTGGACGTGGCCGAGGACGTGGAAGGGGACGTGGACGTGGCCGAGGACGTGGAAGGGGACGTGGAAGGGGACGTGGACGTGGAACAAGTAGTGGTGAACCTAGTAGTGGTGAACCTGCTAGTAGCTAAGGACGTGGAAGGGGACGTGAGGGTGCCTAAGAAGTAGGATGATTAATATGTAGATTTTTAAGGTAGGAATCAGGCAGAATGTACGATTTTTTTCTCATTAAAATGTAGGGTTTTTTACTATATAAACTAGAATTATATGGTGGTGGCAGAATATATAGCAGAAAAGTCCGTAGTGGCAGAAATGGATGGCAGTATTTAGTGTCGCACCCGATCGGGAAGGCAGTAAAACTGTGCACCTAAAATTTCAGGCAGGGGGGGGGGTGAGATTATCCAAAGGGGGGGTGTAATTAACAATACCCTTACTTTATACCCTATATAATATATATCTGCCAGCCGCTAGATAGTAAGCCTTTTCTTACTTTAAAGTATTACTACTAGTCTAATAATAACGATATTATTTAATAGGGTGGATCGGTGGACCGAAAAGCGGATTTTTTTAGAGAAATTATATCTATTCGTAATACTCTTACCACCCGAGTAATTAAGTTGGGATTTGCTAATTATAGTATTTCCCTATTTAACTATAAAAAGGTGCTTAATCCGCTTGAAAAATATATGGATTATCGGGATAATCTAGTTATCTTTGGTTAAGACGACGGATTAGAGGTTGATTTTCCTAGCTCTATTACTAATTCACCACCCTATAGAATCTCTCGTATAAACGAGAGTACGCGTAAATTGGAGGCAGATATCGAATTGCTAGATAGCGAGCTTTATATAGCTATTTAGCACCGAGTAAAGCTACTATACCAGAGTGCGCGAATTTTAGCGGAGCTAGCTACGTAGCTTACTAAGGATAATACCACCCTTTTACGCTATAAAGTCCACCAAGATACCCGTATTACTAAGCGCTAGATCAACCTAGGGGGCCCCCTTACTACTAGTGATACTAATCGAATTATCCGGACGCGGGAATCGAAAGAGTAGGTGTAAGAAGAGAGGCGGTTGAAAAAGCGGATTTCGAAGCTATTAACTACAGAGGATATACCAACCCTAGCACCCCGTTTTATTCTATAGATTCCACTAATGGATGATGTATCTACTATTTAAGTATTTGTTAGGATTTTGTTTTGATTTTTATAGGCGTTATACGTTGAGAAAAATACAAAAATATTTTATACGTTCTTTAAAATTTACGTTGAGCAAGAGTTTATATTACGGTGTGGTAACCCTACACCCGAAGGGGGTGGGGTTACTTGGTAAGGACCGGGTAGTTAGTAACTACTAGTAATAGGTAGTGATATATAATAACTACTAATAATATCCTTATTTTTAATATACTTACGAATATTAGCGGCTTTTCCTTTTCCCTTAGGAATATAACCGTAGTAGGGGCATAAGTTATAATAGGCGGGAATCGTCTGAGGTAGTGGTAATTAATAGTAATTCCTAGTAATAACTAAAAGCATTCACTCACAATTATAGCGTTTTAAATTAGCTATCGGCTCTTTTTATATCGCTTATAATTATAGATTCGCACTTTACGACTAAGAACTATTAGTAATATATAGGTATATTATATAATAACCAAGTGTATACTTATATCTATTTGTCTAGGCGTCTATTTAGGCGATTACTTTACTAGTAGTGTCCCTTTAGAAACTTGTCTCCCTTAGCTATTGAGGTAGCTATTAGTATGTAAGTAATTTAGCAAATAATATATTATAGCCTAATGGTAGGTTATAATATTTTATAAGGAAGTAGTATTAGATAAGCTATATATATTATATAATGTCTTATATAATATATATATAAATATGTATGTGGTTATACTTATCCTAAATAGGTAACTCAGATGGCGATAGTAAGATTGATTAATTGTTATATATAGGAGTCTTTGCTTCTTATATAGTTCATTAGGAGGCAAATGATAAGATAATCTATAATATCTTTATTACCTTAGTATAAGATAATCTATGATATCTGTATTATCTTATTGTCTATAATATTAGAAAGGAAGTTATAATATAGTTTTTTACTATATATAGGATATCTAGGGTTCTTCCTAGATAGAGCTAGTAATTTATATATGATCTCCTTCCTATTATAATAGAAATATACTATACTATTATATTATACACTATTATACACTATTATACTAAGAGCCCCCCTTAATCTTTATATTAAATATAAAGATTAAGCATATAGTGTATAATTGTTATAAAGTCTCATTAAAACCAATATATAGTCAAAACCTTTTTAGGATAAAATACTATATTATTAGAAAGAGTGCTTTATAGCTTATTATTAGAGATTTCAATCTCTTTATATATATATATAAGCCTTATATATTGTCTAGATTAGCTAGATTAATTAAAGATTTATATATAGTATAGTTAACATTCTTTATTAAGAAGTCGGCAAGCATATATTTAGAAGGTATTTCGGTTATTTTAACCTTTCCTTCTAATATAGCTTATCTTATAAAATGATATATAATTTCAATATGCTTTGATCGCTTATAAAATTCAGGATTCTCAGCTAATTTCTTAGCTAATATATTATCAACTAAGATTTCTAGTATACTAGTAGTATAGCCTAATCCTAGCTCTATATTTAAATAATTAAATATATTAGCTAGATATATAGCTTCTTTAGTAGCTTCTTTTAAAGCCATATATTCGGCTTCACAACTACTAAGTGCTATAGTCTTTTATAACTAAGAATTCTAGCTTATAGGATTATTTAATCCTATATTTAGGGTTAGGCTAAATATATAGCCCGATATAGATTTTCTTTGATCTAAATCATTACCCCAATTAGAATCGGAATAGCCCTTTATAAATAGATCCTTACCTAAGCAATTATATACTAATCCTAAATTAGGATATACTAGTAAATATTTCCAAATCCTATTAAGGGCTATAAAATAGTCCTTACTAGGATTACTCATATATCTAGTATAGTATATTGTAGTAAAGGTTATATTAGGTCTAGTTTTTAGGGCTAAATAGAGTAAAGATCCTATTTGTTTCTAATATTCTTTAATATCACTAGGGCTTACACTAGTGTTATTTTTCTTTAATTTTAGCCCCGGTTCACCCGGTACTTTAATAGGCTTATAATTAGGATTATTAAATATAAAGAATTTACTTAATAGCTTCTCTATATAACCCTTTTAGTCTATATATAGTGTCTTAGTATTATAATTAATATTTATATTATTACCTAAAAACATTAACACTATACCAATTTCATCTATCTTTATATAGTAACTAATTTTAGTTACTAGATTTCGTATATAATTTAAGTCTTTATATATGACTAATATATCATTAACGTGATATATTAGTATATATTTGTCTTTAGGGTTTAAATAGATTCCTTTATCGTAAGGAAAAACCTTAAAGTTAAACTTAATTAATATACTAGATAGATATTTATACTAAAGCCTAGGGCTTTGTTTTAAACCATATAATGCTTTCTTTAAATGACAGCATTTATTAGGGTTACTATATACTCCTTTAGGAAGGATAGTATATATATCGGCATCTATTTTAGTATATATAAATGCGTTTTTAACGTTATATTATAGTATAGGCCAGCCTTTATTAATTGCTATTATTAATAATAGATGCCATAACTCTGTTCTATATATAGTAGAAAAGGTCTTAAGGAAATCAACTCCTAATTTTTAATAAAATCCTTATATAACCCACCTAGCTTTATATCTAATAGTTTTATCACTATTAGTTATATAATCCTTATCCGGATTTGGATTATTTATAGGTTTTTTCTTAAAAACCTATCTACCCTTAATAGGGTTAATATTAGGTGGTATATTTATAATTTTATAAGTTTCTTACTTTTCTAACTCTTTAACCTCGGCTAAGTAAGCCTTTAGCCATTAGTCCTTTTTAGGACTATTTATAGCTTCTTCAAAGCTATTAGGTTC